TATTTGAAGAGCAACATTAACGATAGCTATCACAGACCTCCGCCACATGCCGTTCTGAAGTCGAACGCATCCGAGAGATTTCTGGCACGCGCCGAACCGCGATGTGGTAACCTGAAAGATCTAGCGAGTAGTTCGATTTCTCCGCCCACCGTAGACCCACTTCCCTCTTGATAGTCGCGCCCGAGCTGAACGGTAAATTTGAAGTGGTTCTACGGTCAGGGGACATACTTCATATTAGCATACTTACTTTTCAGATACGTAAGAACGCCTTTCCGCTTTCGAAGTAAAGCGGCTGAGTTTGTTTCTTCCCAAAACCTTTGAATTTCCATGTAGTGGCACGCCCACATGTAGTCAGCATCAAGGTCTCCAAGAAGGTACGGCGACCACATGTTGGGAGAACATTCTTACTCGAGTTACTTGATTGTCACGCGCCCAGCGCTCTACCTTCGTCGGGGTCACAAACGAAAATACCGGTATCTTCTCTTTCTCAGGTAACCCGGTCCAATACTCATCCAAACTCGCAGCCTCGGCGTAACACGGTGAACGATGATGTTCTAGACCGTAGCGAAGTTGAGGAAGCTGCTCGAATGTGGGAGGTCTTGGTGCAGATCAAGAGTGACTGACCTCCAGGTAGCTATCTGTGGATGACTTCTAAACAAGAAGTTTTCGGCAGCTGTTTGGTAGACGACGTGTAATTTCCAAAGGTGTTCTCCAGTCAGGCTCGCGACTGGAGATGAACTTCATATTTTGGCGTACATTGAAGTGCGATTTGCGGCTAGCCTGCTCCAAGCTTATAGAGGAATGATTCTTGGGTATCTTCCACTAATGTGTTAACTCATTCATCCACTTCCCCTGGTCTGGGCTGCGAAAACTTCTGCTTGAATATTTGACTTGGTCAAAGTGACTTTTTTTATTGGCCACTGCCCGCTGTATATATATATATATTATATATATATATATATATAATATATAATATAATATATATATATATATATTATATATATATATATATATATATATATATATATATATATATATATATATATATATATATATATATATATATATACGTTCGATGCGTATGACTTATTAGCCTCTCCTCCTGCATATGGGATGTCTAGCCGTACTGGTAGAAAACTTCTAGCGACAGACGAGAACTGGCTTACAACAATGATGAACCCGATGCAACGTAACTAAGCGAAACCATGTTGGCTCGGGATTTACTTTGTTACTCTTACATATGTAGCGCAGAAATACCACAACATGTTAGTACGTTACAATAACTGAACTAATTGAGGCGTCCTGCGCCCTAATGGAACACTCTTGCTGATGTTTGAACTTATTCTACTCCTCATTATAACACATGGCGAATAACGTATGAGATCTTACAAAATAATTTGAAGAGTATAACGATTTGTATCATCGTCATCAAAATAACAAGCTGAAGAGCTAGGTTGAGCTGTCTTCCCCGGAAATCGCGAGAAAACTGGCGGAAACTCTATATCCAAAGCGGTGACGGCTCCTTGTTGTCCGAAATCTACACCTCGCGAGTTTTACTCATAGTAAAGTCACGTCCGCTGTCGTCATCTCGAGACCTCAGCGCAATGATGATCGGATGTCCAAATAATTCTGAAAAGAAAATCCAAGGGTGTGTAGCTTACCGCTAATGGTCCATCTGGGGGCCAACATAGAGTGATGGCTGAAGCGAGCCGCTCGGACTGCTTCTCCTAACCATTGATCTGAATGCTCTGAAAAAATGCCTCTACTTATCACCCAAAAGGGATCAAGGACTCTAGATAGCCTTGCACAAGTACAACTTGAATGCATCAGCTTGGAAGGCATGTAGTCCTCCACTGAATAGCTGAAGATTTTTGGGATACCAGTCAGGACAACAATTGTAGCTTGTTCTGTGCCCCAGCAAACATGACTGATGCGCTCCTTCGAACAATCAAAACGTACCTTTCCGTAACCTTTTTGTACATCGTAAGTGTACAGAATGATACCTAAGCCTCTGCGATGCGAGTAGCTTGAACTAAGAGCCAGCTGAGAATGCTGCTCAAACTTTCGATATACAGCTGCTTGTGTTCCTTACATGACAATGTGAACCTTCTGTCCTCCTCATGCTGGCCGAAAACCCATGAAAACCCATGAAAGTTCAACCCCCAAAGAAATTCCGACGTGGTCAGGATTGCTCTTCTTCGTACCTATATTGACTTGATACTTCTCGCAATGCCACAACCAACCAGGCCATTCCTTGAAGAGTCGCCTAGATCTATCTGTAGCATAAAAATAAATCCTAACGATTTTGCTCCCATCAGCGAGAACTAAAGCGCGGTAGCCTGCCTCATCTTTCGTCAATCGTCAGCTATTCAGTAGAGGTGTACATGCCTACCCAAGCTGATGCATTCAAGTTGTACTTGTGCAAGGCTAATGTGCAAGGCTAAAAATTTGAAGAGTTAGACTCTTCAAATTATTGTTGTAAGAGCTCATACGTTATTCGCCATGTGCTATAATGAGGAGTAGAATAAGTTCAAACATTAGCGAGTATTCCATTAGAGCGCAGGACACCTCAATTAGTTCAGTTATCGTAACGTACTATGTATGTTATTGTATTTCTGCGCTACATATGTTAAGAGTAACAAAGTAAATCCCGAGCCAACGTGGTTCGTTTAGTTATATTGTATCGGGTTCATCATTGCTGTAAGCCAGCTCGTCTGTCGCTAGTTTTGTTCCAGTACAGTACTGTACCTTTAGCATCCAATGTGCAGGAGGAGAGGCTAATAAGTTATATGCATTGAACGCAATATATACCATTTTCACTTTGAATTCACCGCTTTATAAACCAAATTCACCACTTTTCAAACCAAATTCACCTCATTTCAAAACAAATTCACCACTTTTCAAAGCAAATTCACCACTTTTCAAAGCAAATTCACCACTTTTCAAGGCAAATTCACCACTCTTCTTAGACCAGGCATTTCGCCAACCAAATCACGCCGAACATCACCGCGAACCCTGCCGCAAGTTCACGCCTAATTGTCGGCGCGAACATAGATTTTCAACACATGGCTGACTCCGCCCATTCTTTAAAGTTTGTTGCGAACTTCAAATCTTCATAACTTTTTCAATTTTCAAATTCATATCCACTCTTCGCACAACGAAGGTGCTCGTAAACGCACATTCATGCACAGGCAAGTTAGGCTCCGCCCCTGCCATGGCTTGCATGCTAGGGTCTCGCCCGTCACTCAAAACAATTAGGCAAAGTTTGCTCCTGATGACCAGTAATACCCTTGCCGTGCAAGCCATAGCTCTATACCGCCGATTTGCACCATTTTTGGAAAGTGGGTGGGGCTTCTCCGAAGTGGGCGAAGTCGCTCATAGTGGGCGGGGCTTCACGGGGCAGTCCAAAAATGCAAAAATTTTGAAAAATATCTAATTCCGCAAACAGTGCGTGGCCAAAGGGGCGGAGCCTCAATTGCCAGTGCATGGATGCGCGTTTACGAGTCCTTGTTGTGCGAAGAGTGGATGCGAAATTAAAAATAGAAAAAGTTAGATTGAAGATTTGAAGTTTGCAACAAACTTTAAAGAATGGGCGGAGTCAGTCATGCGTTGAAAATCTATGCGCGCTGACAAGTAGTCGTGACCGTCGCGGCTGGGTTTGCGGTGGTGTCCGGCGTGATTTCGTTGGAGAACTGCCCAGTCTTAGAAGAGTGGTGAATTTGGTTCGAAAAGTGGTGAATTTGTTCGAAAAGTGGTGAATTTGCTTCGAAAAAGGGTGAATTTGGTTTGAAAAGTGGTGAATTTGGTTGAAAAGTGGTGGATTTAGAGTGAAAATGGTATTTATTATGTATCGGTCGGACAGTTCGACAAGTGCGACACGACAACAAACCTTAACCCCCTAACATCTCCGGACACATACTGAGCGAATTTTAAAGTATTGCGCGTGAGATACGAAGGATAGTACGTGACCACGTCCGCCACAATATAATTTCCGTCTGCTGCCGAAATTTTTGGAGTTCAAACGGCATTAGCCCAGACTCCAGGCAGTGGGGGGAAAAGCAGACTAAGTAACCCAAGTCACCGGTTTGGGAATGCAAGACACACCCATCGTGGGCGGGACGTGCGGCGAGGCGGGCGGAGCCAAACGCAGGAATCTGTGAAATGGTTCCAAAACAGACTCCAGACACCGGCAAGCGAGCAAAGATGAGGCGCACCAGCTCCGCTATTGAAGCGAGATTTACGCGCCCATTCTGTGCGGAGCTCTCGATATGGGCGGGTGGTCAAAAATTCACGAACTGTTGAAGAGCAGCATAGGCAAGTGGACTGAGGTCCACAAGGGGTTAGCGGACGAAGCGGGGGATACATCCCAATAGTGGGCGGACTGCTTTTGAGATGGACTGTGCTTGCTGCTTGATTTCGTGGTTTAGATTTGAGTGAGCTTGGAGATCAGGAAAAACTGTCGGAGAAGAGACACAGAGTTGAGTATGTCTGCGATGTGTCGAGACCAGCACACAGTGGATGGAACGTGTCCTCAAGCGCGTGGTCCCTATTTTCACTGCGTTTTGGTGCATAGGCTGCCATACTCTCGAACATCTTTGTCACAGGTAGATCTGATATCAGCCGCTTCGCTAGCTGACGCCTAGCGAAGCGCCTAGCCTCCTTCTCTAATACGGCCAGGCTGTGCCGATTTGCTTGGCTTCGCCACGCCTCCTGCTTCCGTATGTTTGAATGCTCAACTAGTACCCTTCCCCCTCATCTGCGCAGTTGATCAACGCTGCTTACCACCATTTCAAAGGCGGTGATAGTGTGGAAGTAAGCAGGAATGATGTTACTGGTCAAGGAGCGTTGACAATGTGCACAGGTGAAACAAATGCCGGATAACTGCTGCGCATCCACTGCAGAAGAAGGCACGCGCGGGGGAGCCGCGCCCGCCCAGCGAAGCAGTGCCGTAAAACAGAAGGAGGCGAACCGACTGGCATTGCAATAGTGCCTAATGTAGCGGTTAGCAACCTCACCTTCAATTTGCTAAGTACTTCTCGCAAAGAAAACATTGTCTCGTCGTCAGAATATCCGAAATTGGATGCGAGCGTTGTTTGTATGAAGTCCATGAAATGCTCCATTTGCAGCTTTCGTATGGACTCTGAAATATTGGCTGCATGCAAGCAAAATGCAATACAATTTAGACGTAGCGCGTCGACACGAACTTTATATGTATAGCTAATTTCCTACCAACACCGTCTAGACAAGCCTCATCGTAGTACGTAAATGAATAAAGGCGGCTGGAAATTGCTTTGAACTTACTTTCGTGCATTTTCATAATATTCAAGGCCATCGCGAGAAGAACTGAATCCCCTTCGAGAATGTAAACGTCCCATAACCTAGAGTTTACATTATGATAGATTATGGAGAACAAGAAAAACTATATACAATTTTTACTCCAAATTCATCACCCTAAACCAAATTCACCACATTTTTCACGTGATCATGTTTTTTTCAACTTCTGTGATTTTTTTACTTTTGCTAGTTTGCACATATACACCACGTGAATAGTACTGATAGAACGACAAACAGGTGGCTCCTTCCTAAAAGAATTAGGTGTGAATTTTCTTCTATTACTTCTTTCAACGGTGTTTTTACACACGCCCTTCACAGCGAAGATGTTCACAGGGCACATCACCGCTGAGGATTCCCCAACATGGAGGTCGTATTTGGCCGCTGCAGGAGGGGGGGGGGGGGTGTCGTATTGGTTTGAGGAGAAAGTTTTTGATAGATGATTTTTCGCCTTGTTGACTTTTCATGTTTTTTTTTGTTCCATATGTACTATATACGGGGTACAGCATCGCGATGTGTGAAATGGTGGTATCAGTACGACCCCCCCCCCTCCACCTGAACGAGGGTCTCGTTCTCCCTTCTCAAGGACATCCCTCTCAATTTCCCACATGTTCCAGTTTTTCACCAAAGGGTTTTCCGTCGAGCGGGGTCTTATATAATATTCATGAAACAGGAAAAATCACGAAAAGTCAACAACCGAGAAGGATTTTCCTCCAAATTTTTCTTCCAAATTTTTCCAAAATAAATCCAAAATTTCTTCCAAAAAATTTCTTCCAACGCAGCTAATTTCTCTCAACACATACGACCTCCCTCTCCCAACTTCGACCAAATACGACCTTCCCTCCCCAGAAAAAGTACGACCCCCTATGTGTTTCACACAATGGTGCCGTACCCTGACTACCCGCCCCCCTCCTCGACAGCAAAATTTTTGGGAGACACTGAGACATTTTCAGGAAGTGCCGGAAAAATTGGTAGGAAGTTGGGAAAATCTATGAATGTGTAGGTAGGACGCCGAAGGGGGGGGGGGTCGTATCAAGCTACCGTTCGGGGGAGGGGTTGTACGGACACGACCAAAATCCCCTACTAATGATGTGTCCTGTCACAGAAGCGCACTTATGCACTGACACACTACGCGAGCTCTACTCATTTATCCATGCCCACATTTGCGTCGTTTTACAAGAATCTGATCGATTTCCCAAATTTCCACATTTTTTGACTGCTGCGAATATCCTCCCTAATTGCCTCCGCAACATACCTCAAATTGACAAGGTGGAGACTCTGACTCGAAATAAATTGCTCCCTCTCCTGCACTTACGTTACCAAAAAAATAGCACGACTTTTTCTTTATTAGGAATTCACACAGCCGTAATTTCAAGATTCTTGAAAGCGAAAAGGTGCTTGTAAGGGATAATTGATCCTCAAAATATCTCAAAAAAATTGTTGTAACATACCTCAATGCCAAAGAAAACGGAACTCGATCTAGAAAGCAACCGAAAAACCATTTAGTTAGATAAATATATGGAATGTCGTTTTTTTCCTGGAAGTATGCTCTTGGCAAAGGTTTACTACAACTGGAAAGAAGTCATGTTGAACTCACTAAATGCTTGTATACCCGTGGCTTATACTTCTTCAATATTTTTTTGAAATGAGTTTCAAATCGAGACAGTTTCGGGAAACCGGGCACAAAGAAGCCTAAAAAAATGTTCAACGCACAACCTCTATATCAGTTGGCAGATGGAGATGGGTGAAAATTAGCGCTACAAGATTATATGTTGGGAACACAGCGGGATACAGTACCCCCTACAATTTCGCATGAAACCATGAAACCAAAACGAGCGTACATAATTGGGCATACCGTAAGTCTCCACTAGTCGAAGCTTCACTTACTTTTCTTCATCTCTGCTATACGCCCTTTGCGCTTTCCAGGTGCTGCCATGGCAAGAACTGGGTCGTCTGCGTGCACCTGGGGCTCTTACGCTTTCAGTTTTACGTGCTCTTTGTGTCCCGCCTGTTTTCCTAACTTATAATTCTACACTGACGACAACGCAGCTCTTTTTCTATTTTTGAAGAAAGCGCTCCAGTGCTGACAGGCTCCCACACCGAAGTGAAGGCAAGAGAGTTAGATCTCAAAGCAGAAGCTGTTGACATTTTGTCGGTTTCGATTAGTTTTAGCATAAACCAGAAATCTTCATAAACTTATTCATCTGGTGGATGCAGAACGTGGAAATAAGGTGGGATTCGATTTACACCTTCTGCTGTCAGAGATTGCAACGGTCCAATTACTAACCCTTCTGAAGTAAGAACTTCAAATTCCTAAAAATAATTTTTTACCTCAGAAAAGCACTTCCATTCAGCTCCCTGATTAAATAATACTCAAAAATATATAAAAGGATTATAGTCACCATGAAGTGTTTATAGGGAATTTGAATTCGTTTGGAAATGCTTTGCAGTGATACCACATCCTAGCATTGGGACGCATTGTCACCAACACGTTAAGGGGTATGGAAGGGGTGAGGTCCAAGAAAGTTGACAGTGTGATAGTGACATGCATTATGTGCGATAGAACGCTCAACCATTCTTTCAGGGAGCCCTCGAGATCACACTGAAGCAGTGATGGGTGCAGCCTTTTCAGACGCCACCTCCCCAACTATACGACCTCCTACAATCAAGAAAAAATAAAGGAAAATCAGGAACCATGCATAGAGTATTTCCTGCCGACCATGAGTGCATGTATACACCAAAAAGTGTCCTCTTCGTCCAGGTACATGAGAAATAGTGCCGCTATTTGGCTCATTCCTGAAATATCGAAGCTAGCTACAGATAAAAATTAAGGGCGAAGTAATGCTTTATTCATAGGGGGAGGGGGGGGAACGCTCATTCTATTAAAGTTGCTGTAAAACAGGCAGGACCAACCAACAACACGATTACCTAAACGATGGCTACTTTTTTTGTAATTCTTCAGCGTTGAGTCACCGTTAATACCGTCACTGATGTTAAATGTTTATTCCTTTGGAGAAAAACTGACCGACATTGGGCTTATATATCCCAACACAAACAATGATGGTTTACGAAAGAGATATCACTAGATACCAGAGCTCAGAAATCAAATGAACACCACGGCTCTGTGCCGATTTCTCTGCACGACTGAACAACGAACTGATGCTACATCAACATCCACTACCCACTTCAGACGGCATTATCACCAAAACGAATGAGGGCAAGACATTTAGGCAGCGTTCAGACTGCGCGATCGCGTCGCTAAGCGGTAGCGAGCGGTTGTGTAGCGCGACTGATTCGACCCCGCTCCAATGTAAAAATCGACAGGATGGATGCTAATTCACAGCCGTATTCACTTGATTTTCCCTTCTTTCTCCTCACGTTAGCTTCTAACTTGTTTTTTCTTTTCCTGCCACTCGTTTTTTTTTGATCCGTTCTGATGTTTGTCTTATTATGCTTATTTACCTTTAACACATGGAAATTTTCCAGGTACACCGAAATTTTTCGGATGGACCGCCGTGTTCAGCGCGCGCACTGTTCCTATCTTTGAGGTGAGGTTTTCAGTTTCCCTGTAGTTTTGTTATTTTTTATTTTCATCAATCATATTGTGTTCAGCTTCGTCGGCAGCTCAGCAGTTCAGTAGAAACCTTCACCTGTACGGTAAGTAGTTTTTCTTTGTTCGTATTTTCTAACTGTGTTGTTAAAGAGAACCTAGTAAACTTCAAAATAACCAAGACACAACACAATTAGAAAATAGGAACAAAGAAAAACTACTTACCCTACAGGTGAAGTTTCTACTGAATTGCTGAGCTGCCGACCAAGCTAAACACAGTACTGATGAGAATCAAAAAGATAACCAAGTCTACAGAAACTGAAAACCCCACCTCAGAAACAGGAATAGTGAACAATAACCGACAGACATTAGAACTGAGCAAAAAAAACGTGTGGCAGGAAGTTGAAAAAACAAGCTAGAAACTAATGGGAGGAGAAAGGGAAAAGTAAGTGAATACGGCTGTGAATTAGCATCCGTCCAGTCGATTTTTGCATTGGAGCGCGGTCGAATCAGTCGCGCTACACAACCGGTCGCTACCACTAGCGGTGCGATCAATCGCGCCGCTAAGCGACGCGGTCGCGAAGCCTGAACGCTGCCTTACGCAGACTGGCTTTGCAAATGCACACCTACAAATTGAAGTCAAAGACGTGGCGGAGTTACTGACTATCTACACACACACAGGACAGGAGCCGGCCGACCTTTTCATCTGAAGCAACGACGTAGGCATATGAACGGCGCTTCTTTTTGAAGACAGCATGAGCAGCGGGTTTCAGCTAAAGCGTCGCCTTTATCTTTGTGCATCGGCCAAGTCCTGCCTTGAATACTTCGGCGTAGCAGCCCTTCAGCTTGGCGATATTTCCTCTCGGCAGGCGGCAGCTGGATCAGCAAGAATCGTCACACCGTTGAAATATTTCTGTAGTGGTCCAACCAGATCGAATTTTCTATATCCACTTTCATCCGAAGATGTCTAGGTTTTCTGTGATGTGGCTCTGCATGATGCTGATTCCCATCAGAGCACTTTGACGCGAAGTCGACCATGACGCGACCAATTGTTGGAGATAGCTATGCAGTTTCTCCCAATTCGACTTTTAGACCAATGTGATCATTAGCTCCTGCGCTGAGACAAGTATTACCGATAACATTAAGTATTACTAACTTCAGTATTACCGCCACGCTACAACCCAGAGCAGCGCCCAGTTAATTGTAACTCCGCAGTGGACCTACGTATAAAATTGAACTTTACGCCAGTATTACTACGGGAATTGTGCGCAAACGCTTGCATATACTGCACCCTCAAAGATGGATGGAAATTTCGTCCACTTATACTTTCTTTCCTCTAGGCGGGTGTCCTTTATGTTCGACATATGCAGCGTATGCCAATATATATAATAGCATGTGATAAATAGAACCTCTACAGTCGTCATCTTTCGACCTGATTAGGGCGGTCGGAGGACCGCAGACGCGGGTGCACCAGCGACCGCGTCACCACTAGCAAACTGTTGGCGGCGCGGGGCAGCTACCCTGCGTCCTCTCACTCCCTGCGCGCCCGACACGCGCCGCTAGCGCTCTGGCACTCTGCCATTGACAGCTGGCGCGGCGATCAGCTGATTTTAGGGTCGGTGAAGCCGAAACTGCATTATTGTCTTGCATTTTTGCTTGTTTTGATGTGATTTTTCTCGTTTCAAATGCTTTTTTACTATTGTTTTCGCATTTTCAGGTTTCGTCTGGTTTTTCCTCATTTCTCCCCCCTCTGTCTGGCTTCTTTTTCATTACTGTTTCACTGATGTGTTCCTGTCTATGCTGAGAACACTCTCTGACACGGTTTTGAAGACTAAGCCGCTTTTGCACCCGTGTTCCCCAAGCTTCTCGTAAATTATGCCGGCTGGTGAGTATTTCGATTTATTTTTTGTTCTTTTTTTGTATGATGCATTCTTTATTATTATGCCAATGTTGGGTTCTGTTTCATGCGAAGAACACACTTTGGCATGGTTTTGAAGCTTGTGTTCTTTTTGAATGGCCTTTTTTCACGAATTGTGGTGGTGCCCGTTATTTAGGCCGGTCGGTGAGTTTGTTTCGCTCATTTTTTGTTTGTTCTTTTTTTGTATGGCTCATACTTCATTACTGTGCCATTGTTGTGTTCCTTATGATGAGGAAAACAGACTTTGGCACTGTTCTGAAGCGTGAGCTACTTTTTAACAAGCTTTTTCAAGGTTACCGCTGATGGTCTCCTTTTGCGCTGGTGCGTGAGTTTTGTTCGCTTATTTTTTGTTTGTTCTTTTTTATACGGCTCAGTCTTCATTGCTATGCTATTGTTGTGTTCCCTTTCATGTGGAGAATACACTTCGGCACGGTTTTGAAGCATGCAGTTTCTTACAATACCCAGTTGTTCAAGGTCTGCTCTGGTGGCCGCCATTTGAGGCAGCTGGTGAGTTGTTTGGCTTATTTTTTGTTTGTTCTTTTTTATATGGCTCAATCTTCATTACTATGCCAATGTTGTGTTCTGTTTTATGCGAAGAACACACTTTGGCACGGTTTGAAGCTTGTGGTCTTTTGAAATAGCTCAGTTTTCAAGATTAGTGCTGAAGGCCCCTACTTCCCCTGGTCCGTCAGTTATGTTCGTTTATTTTTTGTTTGTTCTACTTCTATATGGCTCATTCAATACTATGCCATTGCTGTGTTCCCTTTCATGAGGAGAACTCACTTTGGTCCAGTTTTGAAGATTGACCTCTCTTTCAGCTGCGGCTTTTCACGCAGTGTTCTGCAGTCGTCGTGTTTTCATGAATGTTTTCGTGAACGTGGTAAAAATTGTAGGCACGCATCAAACTATTTTTATAAACACATAATAAACCTTTATTGGTAACTATTTAGCTATCCTGTGCAGATTTTTGCAATTTTTGCTGGGGAAGTGTGTCTCTTAATCCTGATTTCGCTGCCGTCGTCTTCAATTGTCACTGTTGCTTCACAATACACAAAATCTAGGATCTAATGAAGTGAGCAATTGCTTGTTAGTAACAAAGGAAAAAGAGACTAGTAGTGAAAAGAAACTGAGCCACGTCGCACAGCAGCATGCAGTTCCTTCAGCAGGAGTCTCTATAGTAGGATTGGAAAGCAAACGTGCACGTTCTGCAAAAGCACTGAAGAGTTCGTTGAGAAGCGAAACTAAAACGAGAAGCAACGAAAAGGAACACGAAAAAAGCGGAGTTACTACCTTGGCAACAGTGACAACTGAAGACAACGGCAGGCGAAATCAGGATTAAGAGACACACTTCCTCGGCAAAAATTGCAAAAATCTGCACAGGATAGCTAAATAGTTACCAATAAAGGTTTATTATGTGTTTATAAAAATAGTTTGCATGCGTGCCTACAATTTTTACCAGGTTCACGAAAACATTCATGAAAACGTGACGACTGCAGAACACTGCGTGAAAAGCCGCAGTTAAAAGAGAGGTCAATCTTCAACTGGACCAGAGTGAGTTCTCCTCATGCAAGGGAACACAGCAATGGCATAGCATTGAAGCCATATAGAAATAGAGCAAACAGAAAATAAACGAACAAAACTCACGGACCAGGGGAAGTAGGGGCCTTCAGCACTAATCTTGAAAACTGAGCTATTTCAAAAAGACCACAGGCTTCAAACCGTGCCAAAGTATGTTCTTCGCATAAAACAGAACACAACATTGGCATAGTAATGAAGATTGAGCCATATAAAAAAGAACAAACAAAAAATAAGCCAAACAACTCACCAGCTGCCTCAAATAGCGGCCACCAAAGCAGACCTTGAACAACTGGGTATTGTAAGAAAACTGCATGCTTCAAAACCGTGCCAAAGTGTATTCTCCACATGAAAGGGAACACAGCAATGGCATAGCAATACAAACTGAGCCGTATAAAATAGAACAATAAGCGAACAAAATTCACGGACCAGCGCAAGAGACCATCATCGCTTGAAAAAGGCTTGTAGGAAGTAGCTCACGCTTCAGAATCGTGCCAAAGTGTGTTCTCCTCATTATAAGGAGCACAACAATGGCACAGTAATGAAGTATGAGCCATACAAAAAAAGAGCAAACAAAAAATGAGCGAAATAAACTCACCGACCGGCCTAAATAACGGGCACCACCACAATTCGTGAAAAAAAGCCATTCAAAAAGAACACAAGCTTCAAAACCATGCTGTGTTCTTCGCGTGGAACAGAACACAACATTGGCATAATAATGAAGAATGCATCTACAAAAAAAGAACACAAA